TTTTTTTTTCGATAATCGGTTCTATATTGAAATGAGTTCAGAATAATCAGAACACTCATTTTTTCCAAGCTATTGTGGGATGTAGAATACACCTCACGCGCCAACTGAAGAGTTTAAAAGAATAAACCACAGATATCGGAGAGTATGCCTGAAATATCTGCCTCGGAATACACTGATAGCGAATCGCGGGATTAGTCAGTCGAACTGGCAGCTAATCGCTAATTGTGGGAAATAATACGGTTCCGCGGTCTCCGAACTCTAATCCCGACATTCCCGACCACAATTACTCCCGAGGAAACAATGCGACACAGCACAGCGTAAGTCCCTCGTCCCGCAGTCGAGCCGTGATCGCGCGACGCGCCCGAGTACGTAAACAAGGTCGCGCGTCGTAACAACACAACAAACGGCTCGCGGCACGAACGACGAGTCCCCCAAAAAACGTTACAAAATGTTATTCCGTCGCGCCGAATATTTCGTCTCTCACATTTCCCATTTCCGATTTCGATGAGCGAATGCTTGTCGTGCATCAGATCTAGATCCTCGTTACGTAATTAAGGATACAATTGGACGCACGGTTCTGCAATGCGGAACCAACTCCAAAACCTTGCTTTTCCGCTAAAGCAAATTTCATTAAGTTCGAAACATTAGAAATACACGTCTGCACCAACATTAGTTGCTTTCCATTTACATCAAAACTCAGATAATTCTCACTTGTGACGTCATAACTCAGTTAAATGCACGTTCTTTTTGCATGCTAACAAGTGAGATTCAACTGAGTTTTTATCCACAATCGAGACCATATATGTGCTTTAATGAATCTAATAAACTCACATTAAAAGTGAGCTATGAGCCTGTATTATTATGCGATAGCTGTGTCACTAAAATAAGCAAGTAAATACAAAATGACACATCTTACCTGAGTATAAAATACTCACATAACTGAGTGACTCAGATCACTTGAGTGTAAATGGAAAGCAATTATTATCTCAAATATATATAATGACCGAACTATAAATCCTCCTAAAATACAATTTCATGTGTGTTACATGTGTTACATGCGTTTTTAGAAAATCTGTCCTGTTCATGATCACTTTGCAATACAGAATTCAAAATTACGAAAATAATGCTTGGTTCTTTATTACATAACTGCATCCAATTTACTTCATCTCAACAGGAGGGAAGAAAAAAGATATACATATGTGCAAAATAATATATATATATATTTTTTTTAATTACCGCCTTCCCAAATTTTTTAGATGAAGAGAAAAGCCAGCTATTTTAATAAATGAAGAAAATGAGGCACCATTTTCTTCGCGATTTGATTTTTAATTTTCTTTACTAATTAAAATCGCAATTTTTAATATTCTTACTAAGTATTGTAGAATAATATAAATTTAATCTAAAATATTGTATGGCGCGTGTATCTTATTTGTCGGTAATTTCAAAAAAGCCGGTTTACGTACAGATAAAAAGTTAACAGATAAGCAGCGAACTTACCTTTTTTCGAGGTGTATCTCTCTCTTTGTTTCTTTCCCGTTTCTTGTTAATTCCTGTTCCTAAATAAGTTTCTTAAGTAAAAAAAAAAATATTTTCGTCGTACACTTGTCTTTTAGAACTTCGAATAGGATTATAATTTTCCAACGTGGAAAACGAAAGGATTATTTTATTTAAAAAAAAAAAAGAATATAATATTTCGAAAGATATTGAAAATCAGAGATAAAAATATATTGAAAGCTCATTTACTGATCGCAGCAACTTTTTTATAACATTGCATATAAACCCGAAAAACTAATATCAGTCCTATACAGGAATATAATTATCCTTTCATGCAAATCAAAGATCCGGTAAATTTGATAATCCGTCATTTATTGATGCACCTACGCTACTAGCTGCACAGCGTGGGTCGACGGCTTTTGGTGTTTATGCGTCTATCGCGACGTATTGTCCCTGGAGGAACGCTGTATCATCATCACCGGGAAAGGGTTGAAGGGAGTTTATTACTTTACGAGACTCTGACACGAGCGCACGTGTACTTACGCTATGCACAATGCGCCCGTGCATAGCTCGTACGTCGCGCTCCGAGGAGCTTGTCGCAACAATGTTGGAATTAACGGGACAGGTGCAGAGCTTTCTCCTCCGTTTTTTTTTTTCCTTAAATAAAAATATAATGAATTTTATTGTGAATGTATTTAAGTTATCTTACATTTTTCTTAAGCTCGACAGCTCGATGATATTTACAATGCTTTCTTAATCAGCTATATATTACAAATAAATATCTCTGTGTTCCACGCATACCACGATCTCCCCCCCCCCCCGATTAAACGGGGAAGCTACACGACTTTCGGAAAATCTATAAAAAAAAAAGAAAAACGTATTCTCTTTCACGGAAAATTCACCGTTTGTTTTAACATTGCGCCGTTAAAAGCGCGGAATTCTCTAGGAAATGATAAATTACAAATGATGTCGACATCGAGTACGCATTATACACACATATATGGGTAAGGCTATCGATAAACGTGCTCCCTGTTGAAGGGAATTTAATTTCTAGATTATTAATCTGCATTATATTCCGAATGGCACGGCGCGCAGGATAATAGAGAAATATCGATAATTGCGTGAATGGGACACATTTGATTAAATGCCGTGACTTTCTCATATGGATTTTATAACTCATAAACCAAACAATTGGTTACAATTAATTAATTTACGACATGGACAATAATGTAACAAACATGCCATAAAAGTTTTCAGTTAATCGAATTATCTTCTCGTTACAAAAAATGAATTTTTCTTTGGTAAAAACTAAAACCTACTAAGAGCGCTACATTTCGCCAGCCGGTTCGGTGATTTTTGAAATGTTTGAAACATTTGAAAGAGCATAAACCTCCCCTCAAAGTATTTCTAACATTGTATAGACAAATAAACTTTATTTCAATAAAATTTATCTAAACGCCATAATGCAACATGCAAATTCAATGACGGCGTGATACCTCAGTGACGAAAATCGACTCGACGTGAAAATATGGCCACACATACTTTCTCACACCGGCACTCTCACAGTCATTCTTTCCATCTACTTAATAATTAAGACACGACAATGCAAGTGCTAATACTATCATTTGTGCAGCGAGTACAATCGCGATCGTGCGCGTGTGTCCTTATTAGGTAACACGTACAACACTACATCAGATCTCAGAAAAATATAGACCCATCCGTATCCGGTTCTAGCTAGGATTTCGCGTGACATTTGTACAAACCGGTCGTGCCTCGAGCAAAACGTGCCAAATGCACCGCAAATGGCCCACAACACGTGGCCTCACAAACACACCTCGAGTTCTATATTTGTTTCATTTGTATGAACAGCATCTCGCAAATATTTACGCGCACGAGTATCATTTACGGATATTAAACGAAGATTTTTATCGATGGACGATTCTTTCTGCTATCTCCGGTCGTCTAATTATCTCTCGGTTATTTTCAATTGCGCAAAATTCCCCCGTGATTCTCTATGCATTCTGATGAGAAAGAATTTTAAAACTTTTTTAAAAGCCACATTATGACGACGGAATTAAAAAGTACTCTTCAAACTTTCGGATCTCGCTCATTTCGCAAATATTGAAAGTACGTGGCCTCTGACATATAGCGCGGCAGTGCTCGTATAATCCGTGGAGGGAAAATTAGTTTGACATACCTAGCTTCGAAGCTTCGTTACGGCTCGCTGTATATTCCGAGGGCGAGTTACAGTTACACCGATCCTCTCTCGAAAACTTTCCATTTCGGATGAGTCGTGATAACGTGTCAATTTCGATGTCTTTTTAACTTTCAGCAAAGGGACACGTGCTTGTCGAAAAGACGCGGCAATCGCATTTTCTAACGAAACACGCTCGCTACTCTCGCGCGCGCGCGCGTGAAGGAACGCACCGCCGCTGTTCTCTGATCGAGCAGAAATTCTCTACTCTACGAAGACATTGCTCGCCGAGCTTCCTTCTTTCTATCGCGAATCGGTAGATCGCGATTATTCGGTGAAATTGATTTCAGGGCGACGATAGTTCGTTCGTTCGTTCCGCACGAGCGCCCTTTTTCAAAATCGAGGCGAAAACGTGCCGGGAAGACGCGTTTGCCTTCCTCCCTCTCGCTATAAATGTCTTACCTTTGTCGTCTTTTTCGCCGACTTCATTTAAACGCCACGTATTCCCGAAGATCAGATCCTACTTCGCGTACTCGCCAGAACAGCATACGCGCGCGGCCATTCCAAAGGACAGCCTGCGAAGGATCTCTCGCCGGTTAATAAGGAGTATTTTTATTTCATTCTTATCTCGCAACAAAACCGCACAAAAATCGAATCAGTCTTGCGTAGCGGTATCGATACGGACTAGCGGATCGCATTGAACGATCGATTGAAAGGATTCTCCGGTATATCGCGTCAGCTTTATCGTTTGATTCGCGATATCTCCGTGACGTGTGTGGAAGAGAGTCGTCCTGGAAATCCCCTTCTGCGATCCCGCTTCTTCTTCCTTCCGCTTTTTCATAACATATTTCTCAAGTATCCTCCTTTCCTCCATCGCCCCCCTCCCCCCTTAGTTCTTAATACCAATCTCTCGTTGTTGCTTGCTTCCGTAATCGTGATTATTGCGATCTCTCGCATCATCTTGCAAATGAAAAATATATTCTTTTCGGAAAAAGAAACGCTGCTTCTCCTCCCCTGTGTCTCTCTCTCTTTTTTCTCCCTCTCGATATCCTCTTTTGCCTCGACGCTCTCCTTTCTTCTCCTTTGATCGCTTCGGCCTCTTCTTCAGCCTTTCTCCGAGAACTCTTCGAAAATAAGGAATATATTCTCTCTGAAGCAAAGCACGATAAAAGCCCAATGGGCTGCCTCCTGTTCTCCGTGTTCTAGGAGTGCCCTCCTCCTCATCTCTCCGTTCTTCTTCCTCCGATTCCTTTTCTCTGTATATCCCTCCCTCTCTCGTTTCCCCGTTCTCTATCTTTCGAAGATAAAAAATAATCTTGACTGACAACGAGACCAATTACGTAAAGTACCTCATAAGGAGAATAAGCGTCATTGGCATAATGGCAGAGAGATTTAGCGTTGAAGTACCGCTGAACACGTTACATTCGGTGTTACAGTGCGCCTGTAACAAACAAGACAAACGATTCGCCCTTCTTTTAATTTGCTCGGTTTATCGACCTTATTACATGCTAATATGATTATTTACTAAGATGGTCATTCGCTAAGTTCGCTTTTGTTTTATTCAGCTCCATATTTTATTTCCGAAATTATATTAGAAATGATATAAATATTAGGTATTCATCAAACAATTAAATTTTTTTTATTTTTTTTAATAAGCTGAATTAAATACGATAATAATGTCAATAGAAACTAACAAAGAAAAATATATATGTAAAACTTATTAAATCAAATCATTAACATTACGATAATAAGATTCAATATATGTGTATTTATTAAATAATATGAGGAAATAACTCGCTTCTTTCAAATATCAAAAATTAACAAATTGAAATATATAATAACTTATCTTAAAATTTTATTCCAGAAAAAGAAATAAGTTTCAAATTCGTTAAAAATTATAAAAATCGATTCCACATTTGTCAAATATGGTCAAAGTAAATGATCAAACAATCAAAATGTTTTCGAACACGCCGGTGGTTGCGACAGCAATTAAAATCAATTATAAACGAAGCAATAATTCGAGTCTTCAACATGCATACTTTCGATGCCAATGAAACATGAGGTCAAATGAAATACACTCACGCTTATCAGCGAGTTTGACATTCTGTCGAGAAAGTCCTTCGTGAATCGCGCTGTATCATCGCCACACTGACGGCGCACCGTATGATGAGAGCATTCCAAGTACTCCTGGAAGGCGCTGCACAAACAATATCACAGACCTCTGTTCAAAGTCCCTCTTCAAAACGCCCAAATGAAATGAAATGAGTTTTATTGTTGTAAAACACTGGGCAAACGCAACAGATCCAAATTACAATTGGAGAACAACCGCGCGGAAATCAATAACGTTACAATTCATAAAATTTTTCAAGGTGCATCACTTTTCCGTTGTCTCTTTCTAAAATATTATTTTAAAAAACTATTCGTAACTTCACACAGAATAAATCTCCATTTAATTTTTCACGATTTCGCCCCTCTTTTTTGTAGAATAACATTTTCCCCCTTCACAGGAGAGCGCGCCCGCGGTGGTTTAATTGGATCACCGCGGAGAAACAAGATGACGCGAGGAATGTGTTTTTGCGGACCTGTTATCCAGTTTCGGGTCAGCATCATACTACTTACGTCCCCCCCTTTCGCGAGGGATGCGCAAGTTCAAAAGCTGCAGTAGACCGTGGTAGAGATACGCTAATGACATTACACCCCTGTGTGTCTGTACAGGCATCAGCGTGAAACTTCCGACCTAAAGGACTGATTACACTCTTTTTGCGCGAACTCCTTTGAGCAACGCCCTTCGTTATTAATGCAGTTGTTTCGCCGGCGAGCTCTTAAGTGTTAAATTATCGTAGTCGAGGGATTTTACGTCTTTGCGAAACGCCGAAATTTCGAGTATTGCTTAAACCTATTTGTCCGTGTTTCGTACTTTGCTTTCGCTCTCTAACGGTCTCCTTCATGTCATAATCTTAATTCGATTTTTCCTCAGATTTAACATCGACCTCGGGAAAAAGGCTGATCAATACCCGCGAGGTAGATGCACTCGAAACAGGAGGATGCGACGCATTGAGAATTTAATGTTATACTTGATGATTCCTTATGTTTTATTTTAACTCAATTTTCGTTAAATAAAAAATTATGTTATAAAATCCAGCAATTTTTAATAGAACATGATTCAATCTACGATTTAATACAATTACCATAAATAAATTATATAGCGAAATATTTTATTATCTAGTAATTTTTTTTATAAGTTATACGCAAAGTATGTTTATCCGTTGGATTTGTAAAAAAAAAAACAAATGTTATGCTGCTCCATTTTATTCTCACACACGGAAAAGTTAATAAGGCGTATTCAGATAAAACAGTCGAGGGTCTACATTTTGAAAAGTGGCTAGGTCAAATTGACTCGCGCTTTGAGTTCCAAGTTTACCTCCGCGTTGCCAAACTAACAAACTTTGTCGGATAAGCAAATGGACCATGAGTTGCATCCTATTTGCAAAGATGTAGAAATTTCGGTCAAGTATATATAAAGTAGATTTGATACGATATGAATTTTACAACACAGCACTAATCATTCTATCTGCAATATAATAAAATCAGTTGTCCCGAGGAAAAGTGATGCCATCGTATCTATAATATTTTTTCGCTCGTCTCAATGATTTCCGGATTATATAATTGAAATTAATAGTAAATATCACGACGACTATTTTTATTCTACACTGAGAAAAAAACGTTCCTTTTATTAGTTTTCCTTTTTATTAGTATATTTTTTCTGGATTTTAGTTTAAATATTAGTTTGCATACAACTGTGACTCCATTTATTAAAATAAAGAAAATTTTCCTCTTTATTAGTGTATTTTTTCTCAGTGAAAAAGGAAAATTTTCTTCATTTTAGTAAATGGAGTCATAGTTGTGTGCAAACTAATATTTACTAAAATCTAGAACATTTTTTTCTCAGTGTACATTTATTTAAATGAATCATTTATACGTATATGCATATCTTAAGGAAACTTTTCTTCGACTTACCAGCAAAGGGACTTGATGTCTTGCTGTCCCATTGAGCGGTTGGCCATTAGCGATTGAGTCTTCTGATACGATTTGTAACACAACTCGTATTCGGCTCTGGATTTTTGCATGCACGGCGCGTGCTTCAAGAATTCTGCGAACAGAAAATTGCATTCCTGTTATTGGACAATTGCATATTCGTAGGAACATAGGTATCGGATAATGAAATTTCGAGGTCGATCAAGCAGACTTGACAAGCCTGCGGAAATATGTAATTTAATATTAGTATATTAGTAAAAACAAAGAATGTACATATATATGTATTAATTCTCTGGAACATAGTCATTTCAATTTGTACGACGATATATAATAATTAATAAACTAGATAATTAAATTATTTTGCAGATAAAAATTGAAATTGATTAAGACTTAACTGGCTCTCCTCTCTCATTCTCGATTCTATTCCTAGAAAAACAACTCAAGCTATTTACGAGCGCAGCCTATAATTACAAAGAGTGTATACATGTATCATTGATTGACGCACTAGTCACGCGTCGTGTTTTGAGATCATAGTTTTGAATATGAAGGCCGCTTTCCCGGCTCTTGTTTACGATATAGGCGAGCCGTACATTACGCGACTTGTACACAGCATGAGGAATCGATATTACTCTCCTTGTGAACGATTCATTATGTTACAGTGCCTCTCTCCAAAGGAGGAGAGTACATTATGAAGAGTCATGCCGGCTCGATCGACCCACGGACAATCTACGCGATATTCCCGTAATCTCGAGAGTGCCGGATGCATTATTGAGTCTAGTGCTATCTCCGACTGGAGACCGACAGTTTGGAATTGCATTGATGCCTGCTGCTTGCCCAATTGGCAAACGGACTACTCTGGCTTTGTCGACTGGCGCGGATGACTTTGCACGTCATTATTTCTCTCTTCGAGAGCGAGATCTATACAGATTTACGGAGGATGGAATATTTTCAAGCTTTGTCCTCGAAACAATCAAATTGTAAAATAAATACCTTTAATAAAACTTTTGAGATGTAACGAGTGTCTCTGCTTATCGATGCCTCAACTTTATCTTTAATTTCATATTCGTCCTTTTTCCATTTTAGCTTCACACACACAAAATGCTATATTCTATTTTAAATGCATAAAAAACACGCTTAACTAAAGAAACAGATTCCTATTTTCTATAATCTCTTATCCATACAATCGCGCAAATCAATTTCGTAATATTGCAAATAATTTCTCTCTCTTATATATACGTATATTCTCAACTGACAATTATTATTGTATATTGAAGACGCACATATCTAATCGGTTCGATGATTTAGGCAAGAGCACTTACCGTCCTGGTACGGGCCGTCTTGGCAAAGCTCCATGATAGCCATGTTGGTACCGGTGTAGAGAGAGTTGAAGTGCTCCCGCTGCTTCTCCTGCATGCAATGAATCGTATACCTTTTGATGCATTTCATACCTGCCTCGAGATCTCTGTAACAAAAACAAGAAATCACTCGTTATTTAAGCATTCGAAATTGATGAAAAAAAAATGGAAATTTATCAATGTATAAATAGAATCTATAATATATTGTAGGTAGAATCGCGAATACCCCAAAGATATGCATAATCGCAAAAAATTAATGTCACTATTAAACTGAGAAGAATAACTCATTAAACTACCTTAACGAAATGTTTGTCATCCGATAAATAATTGCAGAAAAAGCGGCTATATTTTAACCAAGAAGCCAAAGAAATTAATCATCTTGTATTATTTATAAATTTCGACGATTACCATTTATAAATTTTGTTAATTTAAAGATTAATCAAGAACATGCTTAGTCAACTTCGAAAATGTATTAAGATTATATTTTATTTATTATAGTTTTTACAAAAGATAGGATAATATATTAATTATATCAGCTTTTCGGTTTTTAAAATTTGTTTATGATATATTTACTTCCTTATCGGACAAAATAATAATCGATAAAGATATTTAAGAGCACAGTTACTGTTACTCTTTTACCTTTGACTAACATGCAAAATGTTCTAATTTTAAACCTCTTTTCAAACCACTTCCGGGTTGAACGATGTATACCGTCTTCCTCAATTGAATTAAATGATACGAGTTTCAAAGACAATACGATCCTCTCTCAAGAATCAATGGAACAAGCGAGAAATAGAACTCGAACTCGTGTCTCAAGACAAAGCCTCTTCAATTGAATCACGATTATTAATATGATGTCACGAATATGAAATTGACTTTCAAGATCCATTCTATTGAATCGTATCATTTCTCAAGAAGTTTCCAACTGAATTGCTCAGCACGAACGCGACTATAAATACGAACCAATATCATACATCTTGGATATGAAGCCGCATTGAAACATTGAGAGCAGATCGATATTTGCGTAACGTGTTAGAAATTTTCCGACTGTTTCGACATATAGCGGGTAACTAATAGAGGCATATATGCATGCATGATGTGCGTTCTTCATCTTATCTAAAACTGATTTGCACACTTTGTGTAAAGTGCGATTTGTATCAATCGCGTCAAAGAACAAACATAAAAATATCATAGTGCGATATTGCGCAACATCGTCTTGATAGCGCATTGCAATTTTGATAGTGCCATAGCTTTCATTACACGGAAAAAGATTTACTACTATATAGGTATAATTAACATTTTTTGCCGCAAAAGTTATAATTTAGCAATAGTAGCAAACTCTTTTTGCAATTATTACAGATACTAAGTAGCAAAAGATTCAGCAAAACTTTTTGCTATTGCGACAAAAGGTTTTGCCATTATTGCAAAATTAATAGCTCTTGCTGCAAAAAAATGTTAGTTATCCCATATTTAACGAATAGATTTGCTATAATAGCAAATACTTTTTTCCCCATGCGTGTATACGACTGGCGGAAGAAGCGCGCGTGTGCACGGTGCGGAGCATCGTGATTAATAATTTGTCAATCGGCTACGACCTGTCGGGGCGCGCGCACGGGGTGCATACACGGAAACTGGGCCTGAATGAAATTTAAAGTTCCATGAAATAAGCCGAATTTGCCTCTCGGGTCGGCGCGCTATCGTCGGCACGACTAAATTGCAACCGTAATAAGATTCTTCGTCGAATACTAGGACTGGAAATATCGCGCGAAATATCCGGCAGCTTGCATGCAATCATCCACTCAATTACATACGTACCGCGCCGAGGGCTCGACGGCGCGGAGAGAGATTCCGAGCGATCGAGCATCGCCGCTGTGATAAGCCGGAGCAGAGACCCCTCCGATACGATCGCGAATTCGGACGGATATAATAGACTAAGGCCGAACGAACGTCGGATATTATTCTCGGATCGATTTCCAATTTTGCAAGAGATCGATGAATCGTCCCCCTCGGTATGCCTATAAAGTTTACCCCGATCGACTTTTTAACGATGAGCTACGTCGCGATGATTAATATTTCGTATACCTGAAGCCGGAATCAATTAGTAGGAAGCAGAAATTTTAATACGTGTTATTGCGATAAATATTAGGGCCTATTTAGACAAACTTGCATAGCGCATAAACATAAGCATAAGAAAATTGATTGGTCCATATACGTGTGCATAAGGAAAAAGACCAATCCATTTCTTTATGCACATGCTTATGCATTTATGCAAGTTTGTCTGGATTGACCTTCACCACATGCCTCAATGATCGAATTGGTACGACACCTTATGACACGGAATGAGAGAGGTTCCAGGTTCGAACTCTGGCTGAGGTAATATTTTTCGCAATAAATTAAATTATTTAAATAGGATGCTTATATACATATATAAGCATCAAAATTACATCAATTTAGAAGGACCTAAACCCATGATCGAACCATCTTGACGATTAATTTGACCAAAACCATCGTCGTATTGTCATGACGATGACAGTCAGTAGAGTCGATTAAAAAGTCTTTAGGTAGAAAATTTTAATGTAACAAAAATGAGAAAAATTTCGAAATCGTCAAATGCGGTAAACATTACTTTATTATATCTCCTTATCCTTTTTCCCCGACGTCACAATTAGCGCGATTAAGCTCCGCGACGTTCCGGCACGTTCTTAAAATTGATACGAAGTGCGACGAGAGAGAAAAACGACTGGGCATTTTTCTCGTGGCGAAAAATTTCTTCGTGGCGCGAGAAGAAAGTGGTATATAGGAGGTAAAAGCGTGGAGGAAGACCGTCACGAAATTCTCCACGAAACGGAACGTCAGCGTAACCCGCGCCGACGTCTTCTCCTCATGGAACATGTAAAGACGGCGAATAACAACGGACGTTTTCCGCTTAAAGAGATCGCCCGTGCATGCGCCCGTACGGGCGTAGACTGGCGTAGACTGGCGTAGAGAGAAGAAAACTAGAAAACTCACGGGCATAGTTTGTCGATATCCTCCTTTTTCGTGACGAAACTCAGGTCGCTGTTGCTGATTCTCTCGAGGGGCCTAGCGCACCTCGCCAGCTCGTCGTGTCCGCACTCTTCACCTCGGCAGCTAGCGAGCACTGAAACAGAAACGCGATAATCGGGTTAGCTAACAACAGAGAGGAAGAAAGAGAGAGAAAGAGAGAGGGAGGGAGAGAGAGAGAGGAACGTGGTCGATTCGCGAAGCATAAGAGGCAACAGGGACCCGATACATCGGCCCCATCGATAACAACGTTATTAGTAAGGGAATCGCAAAGAGCAGCGCTGTTTCTCGAATTCGATTAAGCGCGCGACGAGCACGCGGAATCGATGTTGCCGTTGCGGTGTGATTGCAGCGGAAATATCAAACAAGTTTAATTGACGTGGAAACAATGCAGATTGCACCTAGAACTTCATACTCGAACGGATCCCCAATATTCTCTCATTCCGATGGAATTGTCGTATCGCGAGATATCGTACGCGTCTGTCCAGCGAGAGACGTTGTTCTTAAAGTTCCGTTACATCACGTTGAAAAGTAATCCCATTACTCTGTTACTTGTTTGATGAATCTTTACGAAGAATTAAAATCTCAATGAAACAACAAATTTCACTTCGACTGGATTTAAAAAAAAATATTATGTCACATTAAAAAATGATCCCATTACTCTGTTATTTGATGAACCTTTACATAGGAATTAAAGTCTCAATAAAACAACTTTCGCTTCGATTTGATTAAAAAAAGAAAAAATAGGAAAGATGTCAGAGAGAAATATTGCATATTTTCTCAAGGCTTAATTCGTTCAAGGCTTAATTCGTTAAACCACATATTTCCATATTTTTCAACCGCGCGTTTATTTGGATCTCTATGCGCCTGTCTTCTTTATCCTTTACCTGTCTATCATCTGTTATAATGATTCCGAGCCAGCTTGCTAAAATCCTTTGTGTCTAAATTTTGAAAATAAAATTACGGCGGTGGCGGTGGCGGTGGCGGTGGCGGCGGTGGCAGCGGTGGCTGCGGGCATATATAAGACGCGCTCGCGTTGCTCGCGTGTGAGTATATCGGTGGTCACACGCGAATTCGGGATGCGGGATAAAAAACACAGGAAATGCATTCGCCGTCCGGGCTAATGATGACGAATGGCGCGCGATATTATCACGGCGTCATGTGATGCCGTTGGCGAAAAACCATTCGTTCATATTAGGAAGTTGATTTGGATTTAATGGGGGAGCATCGTTTGCCAGTTTAGCCGCGCTTTCGTCGTGCTTTTCATTCCAACTTTTGGGAATTCATTACCAATTACGCCGTATGCACAGTTAGCAAATGTTATATATACATATATACGTACATTTACTCGGTGCCTAAGGAAACCTTGCTTTAATCCTGATATAAAAGATAGTTTTGCAAATTTAAGATTAATTACAAACCAAAATTTCGAGAAGAGCTATAGCGTCACAACTTTTCAACGACCAACATTGAATATCATACAATTAGTAATAAATCTCGAATGAAAATACGAAAAAAAAGGTTGGTGACTCCCTGACTCGATACAAGGGAATGACACTTTCGTTCTTTTAATGGCACTCTAATGTTATATCTCGAAAATTATCGGTGTCTCGAAATTTTAATTGAGAGAAGGTCGACTCTAAATTGATCAAAGAATCCGTCATTAAATTAAAGTCGGAGGATGCCGGGACATTCTGTACAAACACTCCGGGAGCAGGGTAAAGGAACATCGTATCCGCGCTTTTAAAGGGGGGGGATGCGAATCTCGGGACATTCTCCGCGAAATTATTAAGTACTTTCAAGAGAGCTTTACACTTCCCTCGTAATAAACAAGCTATTGTAAGGGAAGGGTAAAGTGGGAACCGGGTCAAGATCGACTTTTCTCTCGATACCAAACGAACTTATAACTTCCGCTCGAAACCGATTACCTGGAAGTGCCACTTCCTGGGTAATAAAAGAGAACTGGCAGTAGGACCGCTCTGCTCTTCGTCTCTCTATGTAACACCTGCAACTTTTCTTCCCCTTTTCTCTCTGCCACCTCCTATCCTATGTTTGGTCTAATACAAAGTTTTCTGTATACGCGTGATGGCGGTTGCTAATGGAAAGTAACGTTACATCTCGCCGTCACGATGAAAAAGCAAAATAAATGGGTGTTATATTTAAAACCCGATGGAAATGTTCAAGCTTCCGCTTTGTCGATATGTCTTGCAAATTATTCGAAATGTCAAAATGTTTTATGCAAGAGATCTCATTTAATTTAAGACGTCGACGTCAGCGAGGTAAAATAGAAAGCGGATATCGACGTAATATCAGAAAATGAGGATGCGCGAATTAGCAATTTAGACTAACTTTTTGTATAAAAAGAATCATGTGAGACTTGTGAGCAACTTTTACATAGTTCAGTAGTACTTATTTTCGGACTACTGAATCGTCGCTTTTATCAATGATCGCTTTCAATATATCTCAAAATGGATTACTCGCTCACGTAATACAGATATTGAATGATCTTTGCAATCTATACATCGCATTTGTAAACACGGCATACATTCAGATAAACATTGCAAATTAATGTTTGTAGTTGCTGCTGATGCTACATCGTTACCAAGACATGAGATTGCTAAAACATACGACGATAAATATGATCCCCCCCCGTACTATTTGAAGAGAAGAATCGCATATTCCTTTATGTAAATTTAACAAGGTAAAGTCTCGAGAAAACAGAATATCGTCGGAAAATTGACTCGATTAAAAAATTTATTCGTTAAATTCGGTGAGCAATCCTGCTGAGTTAGGATATGTGAAGTATAATACTACAACGTTAAATCGGGATGCTCGTAAAATATTTGCGCGATATAAACAACAAATAAATATATAAATCTTCAACTGGGACGAATTGTCCCGTTAGACTTCGAGGGATTGAAGGAAACCTCGCGTGTTTCTTTCAATTCCTTCGAGTCTAAGGGGACAATCCGTCCCAGCTGAAGATTTATATATTTATTTATTGTTTCGCGTACTACAAGTTTCTTTACCGAGTAAACTCTTGCCGTACGGGGAAGCTGCGTTTCTCTGGGACAAAGCGCGAATCCTACGGGAGGGAAAGAGGGCACGGAATGCATCGCGCCCTCAACAGCCGTGTACGTGTATATGTTATTACGCATCGATTTGACGACGCGTGCGACAAACTACGCGACTAAATCCCTCGTGCGGCGCCCCCGACGACCGACGTTATTAGATTTAATTACAAACTATTGAAATTATTGGAGAGCTCGTCGCGGACCGACTACCGCGGTAACGACCGAACGATTCGGCGAGCCACCCGCGAAACTGGCCGCGGCCCACCCTATATAGCGGCGCAATTGTTTTGTAAACCGAATGCAACAATGGGACGACGGGCGTCGTCTGGCCGCGATCTGTCCTCCGATGATTAAACAAATAGCTCCGTTCCAACGCGATTTGTCCGTTTCGAACGATTTATGTAGTCGTCGATTGGAATGACACAACGATATGTCTTCTTGAAATATCTCTCGATATACTCGTAATATAATCGTAATTTTCTCCAGAGATACATACGAGATTATAAATCATTATTTAAAGACATAATTTTTTAACTAAATGATAATAAAATATTATTACTTACTTGAAAAAAATGGGCTACAATAATTGCAGTAAATCAATAATTATCGTAATTTTATTAATATTTGCCTTAGTCACGGATAAGTGAATAAAAATATAAATATCCTTTTCCGAGATGGTCATCCCTCTATACATCGTAACCCATTTTCCTATCCCCGATCGCATTTCGTTCTCTAGCGCTTCTACTTGCTTTCACCTCTCTCGGCTAAGATATCACTCGTGAGAAGAATACCGGCTTACGACGGTACAGTACAGAGTTCCGTGTGTAATTCTATTCTGGTACCAGTGATTCTCCGGGACGTGTCTCCGGGATGAGTCGATTTATTATTCAGAATTATTATCGAATCGCGACAATTACAATTTTAATCGCGTCTAATAACGGCTTCGATTAGTAATCGACTCATGTTCCACGGGTAATTGCGATCGTAATTAATTCGGTAATTAACATTTTTAACACATTCTCCGCAACTATGCACTCCTCTTTAATTCGATTTCTGTCGCGTAATTAGTCGCACGGAAGTCGTTACGATATTATCGCGAGTCCTGTTACCGTTTTACGTTGCGCACAGCAGACGTTTCGGAAACTCGCGATCTCGTATAGTCTCCAATTTAATTTCAAGTACTTAGCAAACAACAGATTTTACGCCAAGAGTTCTATTGTAGAGGAGAGAGAACATCGCATATTTATGAATTTATAACTTTATATTCTTTTCAGTCTATTGTTCGTTCTTTTTTCTCGCAAACGATACAGCCAGAAATTTGTCCGTGTCGATTGGAAAATCGATCCGTCGGACGTTTTAGCCAATGAGCGAGCGGTCAATGCGCGTATGCGACGTGCTGGCGGCTCATCTTTAATGCCCGCACGCAGGCACACACGCATGCACGCAGCTGCAGCAGGAAGAGGTTGGTTAGGGCTCGTATTTATAACGAGGCGAGATGGGACCATCGTACGATGCCGGCACAACCAATCGCGAGCCAACCCGTAGGTTGGCCTTGCCGCCACGACTGCTAAACGCGCGTGCGAATATAACGCGTGTGCCGTTCGCTTGCTCACGCGTCATGCACGCGAGTGTCACAGATCGACATGACCGGACGACACGCGCTCAAGCTCGTACGAAGTGTTTTATCTATGCGTTTCCCTAAAAAAAAATTCTATTTCTAATCAAACTATAAAAAACTGCTCGTTTCGGCACTTCCGAACGAAATCAATTTCCATTTTGAGATCTTTCGCTTTAAAGAGAAAGAAGAAAAATGTGATAACTCTTAAAAAGATTACCCGTAAAAATTCTCATAATCTTCCGTAAAAATTCATTTTTAATCCCTTAAAGCAGAAACTTTTGTCTTAACAAAATCTTTCTCAAGTACAGTATTCGTGTAATTATCGACTCAGCCTTTTTCTTGAAAGTATAGAAGAAAAATTAGCTACTGCGTTAATTGTGATTCAGACTGTCTATATATACCGAG